GGGGGGGGGGGTTACATGCAAGTTACAACACAGCAATCGAGTTATTCCATTCTGAAAAGTGTTACTTTGTTCATGGTCTACACCGGGGGAGTTCTGCTCAGTGCGTTCCTGTGCAAGCCCCACGCCTGCCTTACACCCCCAGTCTCTGCAGTGTCTGTTGAATCATCTGGTCTGATCCTCACACTAAGACACAACCCCTTCCTTGGCGTTATCTTCTCAAACACACAACCCATCTTTCTTTTTTGAAAGTGTAAATTTTAACTCATATTTTCTGCAAGAAGATGAGAGCACTAGGAGACTAAAACCCATGATTTTTTTAGTCCTACTACTCACAGAATTTCCATTCTAAGGTTAAACATAATCTTTGCTAGAGAGTGGAGGCAAATATATATTGCACTAGCCAGTGGTTTCCAAATGCAATTCTTTTCAGAGTCTAAAATGCTAGGTGCCAGCAGAGCTTGCATGAAAATAATGCAACTGAGCTAAATTATTTCCAGCCCTCTAGCTAGAGCGTAGATCTGTCATGTGTTGGAGGAAGAGGAGTGTAAATTCCCGGGTCTCTCCACCCCACCCCCATGGTGCTCCCAAGAGCTGGATGGGTGAGGTGAGAGAAAGCCGCAGTGCAAAGGTGAATTTGCACACACCGCCTTGGGCTTTACACATCTTCAAACTGCAGGCCACCCGGTAAAAATGATGGCAAATTCTTCTAGCTCTAAAAAAATAAATCGCCAGCATTTTTGGCCTGAAGATTACATGTATCAGACGCAGTGTTTTTCTTCAGGATGGCTATGGGGGAGGGGAGAGGGATGGTGGTAAATTCTTTCTCAAAATAATGATCTGTGGAAAGACGGTACCACGTTGTTATTAAGTCCTCAGAAGGGATGCAACGCTTAGGTAATCCAGGCTAATTTGCAGGGAGGGCACCTGGAAGGAAGCGGGTTTGGGTAATTTTATTAGTCTTGAACAGCTGACTTGTCTCGCTTGTAAAAGCTGAACAGTATCTTAGGAACTATTCAAAGTTGCCAGCTCCCCAATGCTGGAGGCTGTAAAGACAGGGATGACGCCAGACAGCGAGGAGGAAGCGAGGAGGAAGCAGAGGTTTTCTTTTAATTGCCCCCAGAATATCCGTTGACGGGTAGCAGGGACTAAATAAAGACACAAAGAGAAGCGGGTTTGGAAGTCGCACCACGAGCTCGCCCAGTGCTAGGGCTGCTTTACATAATCTATCCAGCGCCCTGTGCCGGCTCCCCAAGAGCAATCCGCCCCACCTTGCCACAGATCGAGGCAAGATTTCGACTCGAAACTTGGGGTGCACCTGGGGTTCTCTTTGATCTGTGCTGTTCAGCTGAAAGAGCGAGCGACTCAGAAGGCGAGTGAGCTGGCTGCTAGATTTCAGGAGGAGGCTGCTCGGGAGGGCGCTGGTGACCGAGAAGGAGGAGGGGACCTAGAGGAAGAGGGAGACTGGGAAGAGGAGAGGGAGCTGGGGGAGGGGACAAGGGAGAGAGAGGCGAGAGGAGGGGGG